TCTACCTCAGCCTCCTGAGTAGCTGGGACTATAATCATATGCTGCCATTGCCTGATCCAGTCCTAGGGGCAAGGGACATAGCAGGAAGCTGCCCAGGTGAACTTCCTGCCCTTGTGGAACTTGCATGAGGCTAAGACTGTTTGCTAGATCTTAAGAGCTGTGTGGCTGGTGAGATGGTTCAGTAGATAAAAAACTGCTGTGCAACCCTGGCAACCCGCGTTCAATCCCTGGGACCCACATGTAAAGGTGGAAGGAAAACAGACTTCACAAAATTGTCCTCTGACCTCCACACATGTACATGCACACACACACACACACACACACATTTAAAAAAGAAAAAAAAAAAAACATCGTGTCAGTGAGGCAGAAGCAACCCGAAAGTTGAGGTATCGGAAAGAGCTACTACTGAGCTGTCTGTGTAGCCATTGCCATCTTAACGACGGCATTCTAGGAAATTGGTACAGGCAGGGCCAGACCCAGGGCCCCAAACCAAGCATTGTAGAGATTGATCAATACTGTGTGTGCTGGGAGGCCTGAAGAGCTTTGGAAGGTGTGACCCAGGAATTTGTCCTCAGCAGGGACAGCTGGAGATTGGAGGGGGTAGGGGAAGCCTTGGTCGAGCGTTGGCACTGAGTGTGCAGGCGTCTGGTGCCATGAAGTGGCCTGCCCAGGTGCTAACATGGGGACAGTGAGTGGTTTGAGCTAAAATACGGTGGATTAGGCGGTGCTTCACAACAGACATGTTTTCTTGCAGTTCTAGGGGTGGTGGTTCAAAGCTAGGGTTCCAGATTAATATGGATTATAGTGAGGGTTCTTCCTGGCTTCCACCCTTACAATTATAACCTTAATTACCTTAAAGACCCACATCTCCAAAGACAGGTGTCCTGGGGATAGGGCTTCACCATATGAATTTGGTGGGGAAACAGTTCTCTCTGTAGCACTTTGCAGAAGGCCTTGCCCCCGACCCCCACACATACCATCCCACTTCTGTCACTACAGATCTCAGAGCCATTGTCAACTAGCAATATGAGTATGAGCCACCACACCAGACATTGTCACCTCTTTTGGGAAGTCACATGCCCCAGGGCTTGTAGCACCTCTATATCATCCTGGATGAATGGCAGGGAGCTCTAGAGGCAGGGTCTGGGTAAATATCTATTGAGTAACTGTTGGGGGTCATGGAAACATCATGCCTTATTGCACTGTTGAGTAAAGTTGGGAGACCAGGGCCAAGACTAGCCATGCTGGAAGGACCCTCTTCATCCCTTGGGCTGGGGGATGCCCTGCTGAGTTGTATGATTGTTTTCAGTGCTGGGGCCTAAGCCTGCAGCCCTGATCTGGAGTTTTTAGAGCCCAGGGGTGTTTTCTAGTCAACTGAAGCTTAATGTTCTCTTGGACAAGTGAAGGGGGGGTTTCAGTGGGAGGTGGGATGCAAAGGAGGGAGGGATATCTTCTTCAACCTAGAGACCTCAGAAGGGGCCAGTCAAGGATGAGCCAGGGCATTCTATAATGTACTGGTGCTTGACATGGGGATGGGATAGGGAGGGTTGCAGTACCTCACCAAGGAGAGCCTTACATAGAGGGGTGGAGCAAAGCCAAGCCTTTGTTGCTGACTGCTCTTCAGCCTGGTGGGAACTGAATCATTGGCAGGTTTCAAGTTCTTGGGTCCTGGACTCCATCCCACAGCCCTACTTAGCAAGTGACTGCCCCAGCTTGTGTTTGCTCTAGGAGCCCAGTATGGCTGTTCACTAAGTGTATAGTGGTCTGCAGCCTTACCTCATCCCTGGGGACTGAATGCTCCATGGTTCCCAGAGAAACTCTCCAGATCCACCACCCTATTCTCTACATGTGAATTGTTATTTGAAAGCTCAAAAACCTTGAGTGATAGCCAAGGGACCTCAGAGCCCATAGTGCTGAAGACTTCCTGTGTTGTGCGGGGCTCTTGGCAAGGCTTGGCACAGTTGTCCTGTATCCATTGTCAGAGATGGGTCAGAAATGGATGGAGAGAACACTTTCTGAGTGAAGGGGCCAGGCCAGGTCCAGAAGCTCACAGAAAGCCAGTGTGGCTAAAGACCAGGGAGAAGGACAGGTTTCTAGCCTCAGGAAGGGACTTCGGAGAGTAGGCAAGGAAAATTGTAGAGTTTCTTTCTCCTCCTCCCCATCCCTAAGTCCTTGGGGGTAATATAGTCTCATGATTTTTTCAGGCTGGCCTGAAACTAAAGATCCTACCTCAGCCTCCCCTCCCAAGTGCTGTGACTACATGTGTATTCTACCACCATAGCTGTTCTGGGTTTGTTTGTTTGTTTGTTTTTAAGAGAAGAAAACAAAACACTTAAGCTGGGTGTGGTGGCTTCCTAGCACTGGGGATGTTAAAGCTGCAGAACAGGTGCGAGCTAAAAGCCAGCCTGGGCTATATTGTAAAAGCCTCTGTCTACAGACAGAAAGCAGTGAGAAGCCAGGTATGGTGCACACCGTTAATCCCAGCACTTGGGAGGCAGAGGTAAGTAGACCTCTGAGTTTAAGGTCCTCCTGGTCTACATAGTGAGTTCTAGGCCAGCCAAGGCTATAGTGAGACCCCTGTCTCCAAAAAAGAAAAAAGGCAGTGAGAAGAACTTCAAAAGCTTTGGCAAATCTTTTGAAAATTTTAATAGTATGGCCACCAGGTTGAGAATTCAAGATAAGAAAAGTTGTGCTTTACAAGTCTTCCCAGTTCTATGCAGAGGAAACCATTTGCTGTTTCTTGTTCTGTTTGTTTGGGGGTGGAGTGGGAGGGGTCAAACCCTGGCCTCATAGGCAAGTGCTGTAACACTGAGCTGTATACTCCAGCCCTATTTTTGTTCAACAGCTTTATTGAGGAATGCCATTTACCACCCATTTAAACTGTAATAGTTTTTGTTACTTTTTTTTTGGTCTTTTAGAGACAGGGTCCCCTGGTAGCCCAGCTGTCCTGGAACTCGCTATGTAAACCAGGCTGGCCTTGAACTTTGTTACTTTTTTTAAAAAAAGAACATTTATGTATATGAGTAGATTGCCTCCATTTATGTAAGTGCACCCATGTCGTGCAATGCCCACAGAGGTCAGAAGAGGGTGTTGGATTCCCCTGGAACTAGAATTAGAGATGGCTGTTAGCTGCCATGTGGATGCTGGGGACTGAACCTGGGTCCTCTGCAAGAGCAGTCAATGATCTTAACCACTGAGCCATCTTTCCAACCCCTTTTGTTACTTATTTTTGAGATGGTTGTCTGTTGCCCATGCTGGCCTCTATCTTTAAGCTCAGGGATTGGTCATCACCAGCTAGAGTAACTGAGACTGTGGGCTTATGCGCACACCTAGCTTTTTGTAATGGTCTTCAGTGTATTCAAATCAGGAAACTATCACATCCCTTTGCCCTAAGCAAACCCCAATTCTTCTTTCCCAGCCCCTGGCAACTGTTTTGTGTCTTGATGGATTGCCTGTTCTAGACATTTCATATAAATGGAATCATATGCCATGTGGTCCTTCTGTTTGGCTTTTTCATGTCATGTGAGGCACCTTGACACTTTTCCCTATGCAGTGTTCTCACCAGTGGTATATGAGAGTTCCCATTTTCACCTTTGAGACACTTGCCTTTTTATGGAACCTAGGACTTCACTCAAACTAATATGCCCCCAGCCACTTGCCTGTCTTATTCCTGCTTAGGAGCCTAAGGTGTAAGATGGTATTTGTTGTATTGTAGTTTGAATCTGCATTTCCTTGGTGGCTAGGGTTGGATGTCATAGGTATCATTCATTCAGTGAATGGTATCGAGTCCTTTTCTGGGCTGTAGGCACTGATGTTGATGTGTCAAGAGCCATGTGTGGGGTGGTAGTGCTGGGCATCCTTCCTAACACTCAGATGTGCCTGTGCGTTCTCATGTGAGACAGATCTTGGCCACTCCACTCTGTAGGTGCCTTGCTGATCTAACGTACAATCCATTCTCAGTGTCTGCAGGTCCTACATCCTCAGATTTAACCACTACACATAAAAAACATTTCTAAAAGATAATTTTCTAATGATAATAGCTCAGTGGCAGAGCATGTGCCTAACTTGTTTAAGACCCTGGGTTCCAAGCCAGGCGTGGTGGCACATGCCTTTAATCCCCAGCACTCAGGAGGCAGATCTCTGTGAGTTCAAGGCCAGCTTGGTCTACATGAGTTCCAGGCCAGCTAGGGCTACAGAGACACCCTGTCTCAAAAAGACAAAGGACCCTGGGTTCCATCCCCAGCGCTGCACAAACATTTTGAGATCCCGGTATAGTGGCTGATTTCTATAATTCTGGCACTCCAAAGGCAGGAGGACTGCCATGAGTTCTAGCTTGGCCAACTGTATTATGAAACAAACAAAATTTTGAGGATGGGCAATATAGGTATAGGTATTACAAGTCCTCTAGAGGTGAGTTTATGGAGCTTGGGTGTGATAGGTGAATGAAGCAGGATCAGGAATTCAAGGCCAGCATGGGTAACTTTTGTTTGTTTGTTTTGGTCTTTTTGAGACAGGGTCTCCGTGTAGCCCCAGCTGGCCTGGAACTCACTATGTGGAGCAGGCTGGCCTTGAACTAACAGAGATCTGCCTGCCTCTGCCTCCCGAGTGCTAGGTTTAGAGGCATGTGCCACCACGCCTGGCTCAGCACGGGTATCTCTTAAGTAGCTCAGTGTTGAAGTACTTACTTAGCATGCACAAGGCCCTGAGTTCTGTTCCCAGCACAAGAAAGTAAATGGGGCTTGAGTGTCTATGGATTCCAGTATCCACTGGTTCCTGAACCCGAACCCCTGCAGATACCCACTGGATAGTTGTCATATCCATAGAGACAGGGTTGTGGGGTCAGGCGGGGCAGGTGACTGTGCCATTTTTAGGTATACCACAGATACCACCATGTGGATGTCCTGGCTTCCACATTCTCTCCTCTCTGAGGTGAGGTCACTGTGGCAGGGAGGGCCTGTGTTCGTTTCTGCTGTCTGACCATATCTTCTGTCTCCTTGCAGCTGCTGCCATGGCGCAGACCCTACAGATGGAGATTCCGAACTTTGGCAACAGCATCCTTGAGTGCCTCAATGAGCAGCGGCTGCAGGGCCTGTACTGTGATGTGTCAGTGGTGGTTAAGGGCCACGCCTTCAAGGCCCACCGGGCTGTGCTGGCTGCCAGCAGCTCATACTTCCGGGACCTGTTCAACAGCAGCCGCAGTGCCGTGGTGGAGCTGCCAGCTGCAGTGCAGCCACAGTCGTTCCAGCAGATCCTTACGTTCTGCTACACAGGCCGGCTGAGCATGAACATGGGGGACCAGTTTCTGCTCATCTACACAGCAGGCTTCCTGCAGATCCAGGAAATCATGGAGAAGGGCACTGAGTTCTTCCTCAAGGTCAGCTCCCCAAGCTGTGATTCCCAGGGCCTGCATGCTGAGGAGACCCCATCCTCAGAGCCTCAGAGCCCTGTGGCACAAACGTTGGGCTGGCCAGCCTGTAGCACACCATTGCCCCTTGTGTCCCGCGTCAAGACGGAGCAGGAGTTGGACTCTGTGCAGTGTACACCAGTGGCCAAGAGGCTGTGGGATAGCAGCCAAAAGGAGGCCGGAGGCAGCGGTGGCAGCAATGGCAGCCGCAAGATGGCCAAGTTCTCCACACCAGACCTGGCCCCCAACCGGACGCCCCAGCTGGCCCCAGTGGCCACAGCTGCAGCAGCTGTGGCAGTGGTGGCAGTAGGGGGGGGTGTGAGTGGGCCCAGCACGTCAGAGCGGACCAGCCCAGGTACCTCCAGTGCTTACACCAGTGACAGCCCTGGTTCCTACCATAATGAGGAGGATGAAGAGGAGGACGCAGGTGAAGAGGGCACAGATGAACAGTACCGGCAGATCTGCAACATGTATACCATGTACAGCATGATGAATGTTGGCCAGACAGGTGAGTGCTGCCAGCACCTTCCCTTCAGTCCCCTGTATGAGTGCCACCCTCCCCCAGTCCTCTGTGTGTTACCTGCACACACCCCCCACACACCCATAGCACATACAGACACACTCATCACCTGTCCCAACAGCCGAGAAGGTGGAGGCCCTCCCAGAGCAGGTGACCCCTGAGTCCCGCAGTCGCATTCGGGTGCGGCAAGACCTGGCATCTCTCCCGGCTGAGCTTATCAACCAGATTGGCAACCGCTGCCACCCAAAGCTCTATGATGAGGGCGATCCCTCAGAGAAGCTGGAGCTTGTGACAGGTATGTTGACTATACTTCATCCTCCCATCCTTTTACTTTGCAACCTTCATCTTCATGTCCCCCTCTGATTACAAGCTTGTGCCCTGGCAACTGACATGCTCAGCTAGCTCCTCAGTTTCTTCTTTGGACTGCTGTTGGTAGCACTGCCTTGACAAGAGAGATGATTAAATGAGTTGGGGGTGGAATGTGACTCAGCTAGTAGCATTTGTCCAGCATTTATGAAGCCCTAGGTTCTACCCCCAGCAGTGCATAAACTGGGCATGGTGGTATAGACCTGTAATCCCAGCATTTGAGAGATAGGGACAGGAGGATCAGAAGATCAGAGTCAGCCTTGGCTGCATATTGAAGTCAAAGCCAGCCTGAGATACGTGAATCCCTGGCTCAAAAAGAAGAAAAAAGATCAGATGAGCCCAGGACTCTTTGAGAGCCCCAGTGTGCTAGAGATCCCATCCCCAGCACCACAGAAGGAAGGGTGAGGGGAAGGGAAGTGTGAAGCTATCTCCAGGTGAGACGGGGCATACTTGGGAATCCCAGCAGTGAACAGTCCAAGGTATGAGGGAGGACCCAGTCTGAGCCAAAAACAAGAAGTGGGGGATGGGGGACAGAGAGGCTGATTAACTAACTTATTCTCATTAAAGACTGGTCTGTAAGTTTCTGGCTCCTGAGAGCTACTGGGCAGGCAGGTAGGGACTCATTACCACAGGGGTTCATGGTATGCTGATCTTTCTGAGCTTCTTCCAACATGTCTATACCTGGGCTTGCCACAGGGCCCAGTATGTAGCAGGTGCTCTGTAGGTCATAGTAGCCACTCCTTTCTATCTTTTCTTGAGCCTCGCCTGGCTGCCCTGGGCTTTCTGGGCCACTTAGGACTCAGAGGCTGACAGGTAGGGTTAGAGATACAGATACTTCTGTTGGGATTTTGACCCAGACTGTGTGACTTTCCTTGCTAGGCACCAACGTGTACATTACAAGGGCACAGCTTATGAATTGCCACGTCAGTGCAGGCACAAGGCACAAGGTCCTACTGCGGCGGCTCTTGGCTTCCTTCTTTGACCGGTGAGGCACACCCCAGAATCCTAGGGTCAGGGAGCAGGTGGCCCCCCAAACCCTTATCAGGAACTCCGAACTTGACCTGTGCTTCTACCCTTCTTTCAGGAACACACTGGCCAATAGCTGTGGCACCGGCATTCGCTCTTCCACCAATGACCCCAGGCGAAAGCCACTGGACAGTCGTGTCCTCCATGCTGTCAAATGTAAGTGTTATGCCCTCAGATTCAGGCTAGGGACTTTTTCCTTCATTGTTGGCCCTGGCAGCTGGGTGGAGCTGAGTGTTAAGAAGGGTTCTGGGGCCAGTGAGATGGCTTAGTAGGTAAAGGCACCTACCACCAAGCCCAACAACCTGAGTTTGATCCCTGGATTCCACAAGTTGTCCTCTGACTGCCACACATACACGGTTACATGCATGCGTGCACAGATGCACAGGCACAAAATAAATAATAATAAATGTCAAAAAAAAAAGTTTTTTAATGAAAAGGGGTTCTGACTAGCTGTTAGGAAGCTGGGGCAGGAGGACTAAGAGTTCAAGGCCAACCAGGACTGCATGGAAAAAAGGAGGAGGGGGATTCCGAGGTTCCATCTTCTCTTTTTGGGAAAGAAGCTGCAATTAGGGATGTCTTCACATTTGGGGTGTAGTGCTGAAGGAAACGAGGTGCCTATGTCATGAAGGAGGGTCTCACGTCCAGGGTAGTCAAGGGAGGATTGAGGTGGCTAGGCCTGGCAAAAGGTGGTGGGGCTGTAGGCAGTGGCAGGCACTTGTCAGGAGGATGATTAGGTTTGCATGGGCAGCCTGAATCTTGCAGACCACACGTTCCCACATGGCATTTGCCCAGTTAGGCAGCAGTAGTTTAGAGTCATCAGTGTGTTCACTGGGCATTTATAGAAATGGAAGGCTTAAGGGAGGAGTCTAGGCCCTAGCTGCCTACTCTTCCCCTCCTGCAGACTACTGCCAGAACTTCGCCCCCAACTTCAAGGAGAGTGAGATGAATGCTATTGCGGCTGATATGTGCACCAATGCCCGCCGTGTGGTGCGCAAGAGCTGGCTGCCGAAAGCCAAGCCCCTACACCTGGCAGAGGGCGATACCTACAGCAGCTTCATCAGCGACACTGGCAAGATAGAGCCGGACATGATGAACATGGAACACAGCTTCGAGACAGCCAGCCACGATGGCGAGGCCGGCCCCTCGGCTGAGGTTCTTCAGTAACATAAGTGTGACCTTCCCATGGGATGTCACACTCCCCCTCCTGTCACATACCCCCACCCACCACCTGGTCACGAGCTACTGTCTGTCCCTCCCCAGGACCTATGAGGGGTGCTGCTTTTCTCTGGCCTCAAGAATTGGCTGCCCAAGGCACCTGCTGCACCTGTTGGAGGGCAGTGCTTATAGCAGCCTCCTCAGCAACACTGATCAGTTAGAGCCAGTTAGCCGGACATGACGGCAGGGAACACAGCTTTCAGAGAGCCAGCCCCCTCAGCCAGGTCCTCCAGTAACCGCCCAGGACCCCCCTCCTCCATGGATGTCACACTCCCCCTCCTGTCACTCGACACCCACCACCTTAGAACTACTGTCCGTCCCCAGGACCCACAGGGGTGCTGCATGCTCCCAGCCCTCTGCCTCCTTGTCATCCCACACCCCTCCCCAAAGCAAACTGGGCTGGGTCAGGAGAGGACAGGCATTGGGTGGGGCCTGTGGCCTCCCACAACACATGCAGGGGGAGCCCTGGTTCCCCTTCCTTTTAGGCATTTCCCAGCACCAGGCCAGCTGGGGGAAAGGCAGGGCTCAGCAAGAACCTCTGCCCCTAACTGCAGCTGCTTGGGACTCCAGGGGCCCAGGGGTTCTCAGGACCCCTCCCACCCCCCACCCCCAGTGCTTCCACTTCTCCAAAAGCGCCTTCCTGTCCCTCTTGTCTGTCCCTGCGCCTTGGGGCTAGGGTAGGCGAGGCCAAGAGGGACTGCCCACTTTGCAGCTGAGGAAACAGGCCCAGAGAAGGCTCGGAGAAATTTCAGAACTGACCCTTGGTGGTGACAGCCTCCATCGTACCCCTCCTAAGCCCGCCCTATTCTGCCTGTATGGGTCCCCTCAGCCCAAGAGAGCGGGGCTCTTGTGGGCAGATGTGGGTCTCAGGACAGGTTTCCAGACTGGCAAAGCGTGTGGGTGTTGGTGTGCATGCCTGCTTGTGTAAAGCATTTGCTTTCCAAAACATGAAGATCTTAGAAATGGTAAGACCGGGGTTGGAACCAGGGAGCAGGCTTGGAGGCCACTGCCCTTCTCCTATCTGCCCCTGGGCAGGGCTCCCAGCCCCCACCCCCACCCCCTGTACATAACTTTTTGAAACTTTTTTTAGCGAATGAAATATTGAAGTATAAGATTTCCTTTTATTTTTCAAACCAATGGGACTGTGTCTGAGGGGTCCCTGGGTGTGGTCTGTGGAAGGCAGGATGCAGGGTAGGCTCTGTGTGTGTGTGTGTGTGTGTGTGTCCCCACATGCACATGTGTGGTAGATACTTGTGTATGTGTGAGATGAGGGTGCATGTTACCATGGGGGGAGTCCACTCCCAGAACCCCTGGGCTGCTGTAGGTCCAACCATCTCCCCCTTCCCCAAGACTACAGTTTGAAGGTATTCCAGGTCCCACTTGGCTGAGCCCACTCCTGAGGGGTGGGTCAGGGCAGGGCCCACGTCCATAGTTAGTGGTTTGCAGAGTTTTCTCTCGCCATTCCTTTATATTCTAGCTCTCCCAGAGCATGTTCTTGGGTGTTTGAGTTTTACATGTGAACATCAGGGAGGAGGGGTTCCGGTTTACTCCTTACCTCTGTTGTCATATCACTATCTCACTGGTTCCTTTCTAGCCTTGACTTCCCTGCCTCTCCTCCCCAGCTCTGCATCTTAGTTCCCTCTTCAAAGGCAGGGCTTATAGGATTGGAGAAGGTAGGCTGGAGCCTTTTGAGTATGATCTGGAGACCTGTCCCCTCAGCCTAACAGTACCTGCTGGGGTCCCTCCTAACATCTGGTGAGGGTGGGGGGTATTGGGTCTGGCCTGGCCACAGAACCTTAGCCTGGGAGACCAAGTGGAGGGGAGTCGACACCCCTAGCTAAAGCACAAGCACCTTAGTCGCACCCCTTTCCTCCACCCTTGCCCTGGCCTGCTGCCCCACCCCAGCGCAGATCCCAAAGCACAATCTCCTGGTAACTTGGCATGTAGTTGATCCTGGCCATGGTGAGGCAGGCTGTGTTCCTCCAAGCTGAGTGAGGGGCAGCTTACTGGGGCTCAGGTTTTGCTTAGCCTGCTGTTCCATCTAAGCCCTTGCAGCACAGAATGGGCATCAGAGCCCATTCATTCCAAGGACCTCAGGAGGTGGTCCTGGCTCCCGGGACTGGGGGGGGGGGTTGGGGGGAGGGAATCAGGCCAGGGGTGCAGGGGAGGAAACTACTCACTAGGAGAGCCAAAGACAGGGTTGTGCCTTACCCCAGGAGCCCACCCCTGCGCCCCTCCCCTGGCAGTCAGCTGCTTGCCCCCCACCCCTACCCTGCCCTCTTAAGCTGCATGGTCCCCATCCTGGGCAGCCAGGAGAGTGAAAGAAGAACCCATCTAGTAGGACAGGGAACTGGGGCAAACCTGCTGGCCGCCCTCCCACCCATTGCCTCTTTCACAGGGACAGGCTGCCCACTGACCCATGTGAAGTGCCAATGCCCTCCACACCTGAGGCCGAGCCCCCACCCCTCCCCAGCCAGCAAGTGAGATTGCACACTAACTACTGTATGGAGAGGAGTGGCGTTGGGAAATGTGAACCCTGAGAGTCAGTGATGCTGATAAGAATAAACAAAACGCCTTTGTAACAACCCTACTTTGCGCTGCTCTCTGGGGAGGAAGAAGAGGTGGGGGAAGAGGGGTTGCAGCAGAGGGACAACACCAAGGACATGCTGGCTGCCAGTTGGTGCAGACCAATAATGCACACACCTGCTCCTTCACCCTTCTCCGGGGTAGCATTGTATGCTGGAAGAAACATGGATCTTAAATGAAGGCCCGTGTGCATGCTAAACAAGTGCTTTGCCACTGAGCTATAGCTCAGCCTGAGATCACAAATGGAATTTGTCATCTAAGATGTCAGAGGTTGGGCTTAAAAAATGTAGATCAGTAGATGTTTGGTCCCACCCTAGCAGAGGCCAAGAGAACAAAGAAACATGGGAAAGTAAAGGAGGGTCCTTCACAACAAGAATTTCAGCTTTGGTGGTTGGAAGCTAAGGAATAGGGGTTCAAGATCCTCCTCGGCCAATTTGAGATCAGCCTAGGCTGTGTGAGACCCAGTCAAAAAAGGGGATAAGTTTCTTGGCACTCTTGGGGATCTTGCCAGGTCACAGGCCTGTGAAGGATCTGTCACACAAGCCTAACCAAGCCTGTCCTCTATAAGCACCTGTGGAGGTACAACAGTTAAGAGAAGATCCTAGAACCTGAGACTCTCCGGCCTCAGCCTATGAGTCCAGTATATTTCATTGAGACCTAGAGCATTTATTTTGTGCGGTGAGAAAGCCCATACTCCACCATCAGAAAATTGGGTTTGGAGCCACTAAGATGGTATACACAGGGAGTAAACACCTGGATGCCTGGATTTGATACCTGGGATCTACATGGTTGGAGGGGAGAACTGATCACTACTAAAAGTTGTCCTCTGGACGTGCACAATGCAGTAACTTGTTTCTGGTTTTTTTGTTTTGTTTTGTTTTTGTTTTTTTTTAATTTTATATGTATGAGTGTAATGCCTGCATGTATGTGAGTGCACCCGTGTTGTGCAATGCCGTGGAGGTCAGAAGAGGGCTTCGGATTCCCCTGGAACTGGAGTTAAGGACCGTTCGTAGCCTCCATGTGGGTGCTGGGAATCGAACCCAGGTCCTCTGCAAGAGCAGTCAGTGCTCTTAACTGCTGAGCCATCTCTCCAGCCCCAGTAATTTGTTTTTTTTTAAAAAGAGCCAGATATGGTGGTGCATACCTTTAATCCCAGCACTTGGGAGGCAGAAGTAGGCTGATCTACACAGTAGGGAGTTCCAGGCCAGCCAGGACTACACAGTAAGACCCTGTCCCAACCAAAAAACGGTGTAGAGTCAGATGGCTCAGTTGAGTGAAAGTACTTGATGTGCAGGCCTAGGGACCTGAATTAGCTCCCTGGAACCTATGTAAGAGTGGAAGGAGAGAACTGACCCCACAGTGTCCTCTGACCGTCACATGTGCTCTGGAACACAGGTCTACACATATACTGCACACTAATAAATTTTTAAAAATAAGACAATTTGTCAAATATCTGCATTTGAATTCCTAACAAACACCTGGGCTCCTGAGCAAGCAGAGTTTAGAAAAGACTGAGAAAGATGAGTTTGAATTGACAAACCATATGGTACAAATACGAGGCTGAGATTTTATTTCCAAGTTACCGTTAGTAGAAGGCACTGAGGTGAATGGCTTTGGGGCAGGAGAAGTGGGGAGGAGTGTGTTCGTGGTCTCCCCACCTCCACCACCAACCACCCTGTAAGCACACTTGAGACAAGATCAGGATCAGAAACCTGGGTTCCAGCTCTAGGTGCTCAACAGCTTTGGAAGTGAGCTTTGGGAAGAGCCCAGCCCTCCAGCCTTGTTCCCTCTTCCCAGTGGGCAGAGTAGCTCTGCAGGCACCAGTGATCGTCCCACAGGGGCAGCCCAGGTCAGAGAGAGAAGAGCAGAATCAGAACCAGGAAAACTACACCCAGGAGCACCACAATGGCACAATACTGGATGGTCTAGGGACAGAAGGGTCAGAAATCATGGGAAGGCAATGCCAGGTACAACCTCCCCCATTTCAGGCCTTCCAGAAAGAACTCACCACTCGTCATGTGGGAGACTTTGGCCATCTTCCTGAGAACCCTGTCCAACTGAGACTGTGATTTAGCTCATGAGCAAAGGTATCCAGCATGCTGCCAACACAACAATGGCATCAGCCCACTGTACACCAGGAGGCCAGAGGCAGCCAGTCTAACCCCTGGGCCCTGGCCTTACATGCCTTGCTCATCCAGCTCCTCCCCCACACAGCCTGACATGTGTTTTAGAACATGGGTGCTCCCAGACACCATTTCCAACTGTTGATCCTGATGGTCTATGATCAGCTGCAGAGTGAAGGGGACAGCTGGGAGCAGGAAATCTTGAGTCCCACAGCCTCTCATTCCAGGGCCCCCTACAACTCTTAAACCTGCTGGGTGACTTGCTGTTCCTCCAGGTAACAAGAGAATGAAACCACACTGGCATCCAGCAAGTCCCTGTGTGACCTCTGGGCTGCAGGCTTGCCTGCCAGCATCTTGTAAGGGATATGGACAGCAGGGTCCAGGAGGGGCACTAATGCACACCAGGCAGAGGGTGGCTTTGTGACAGATTGGCGGGTCAGTGATGGATGGGATTGCAGGTGTGCACCACAATGTTTGGTTTTGTTTGGTCCTAGGATAGAATCCAGGGTTTGTACAGCTAGGCAAACATTCTACCATTGAGCTATATCCCTGTAGCCCCAGCCAGCCTGGAACTTACTATGTAGACCAGGCTGGCCTCAGTCTCACAGAGATCTGCCTCTCTATATCCCAAGTGCTGGGATTAAAGGCATGCACCATCATATGTGTGTGTGTGTGTGTGTATGTATGTATGTGTCATGGGTTTGTGACCATGACTGCAGTGCTTGTGGAGGCCAGAAGAGGGTGTCAGATCCCCCTGGAGATGGAGTTTCAGGCTGTTGTGAGGCGCCTGGTATGGGTGCTAGAAACTGAACTCAAATCCTCTGGAAGAACAATGTGTGCTTTTAACAGCTGAGCCATCTTTCCACACCCCACCCCACCCTGTCTTTTTTTTGACTACAGTGCATTTCTCATGGTCCAGCCTGGCTTATGCGTTTACTCAACAGACTGCTGAGTATTACTAAGTCAATAATTGTACTTCAGAGTTTGGATCCAGACCTCCAAGGCAGCATGTGGAAAACACAAGTGCAGGAGAGGCCAACTGATAGGGACCTTAGCCCACCCTCCCAGAACCCACGTGGGTATGAACAGTAGGAACAGGCTAGTGGTTCTCAACATGCCAAGAATGGCCACAAAACACAAGAGGGAAAAAGACAGTAGCAGCAACAACATAAACGCAGAGGGAAACAGTGGGTATGTGGAGGTCAATAGGGAGACACTGGGAGGAAAAGGTAGGCATGTCCTCCAAACAGCAGCAACAGAGCAAGTGGTATGTAGAGACACAGATTCCCATTCCTCCTGCACAGAAACCAGTTGCACAGAAACCAGTTACTCAGAGAAGGTAAATAAACATACTAAAACAGCCATCTATATCAAGAGACTTCCAGTACTCAACAGATTCTCAAATGCAGGGAAGTCAAACCCCTTACATAAAATGTCATATTTGCATAGAACCTATGTAGCTCCTCCCTAGACTCAAATTATTTTTTTGTTGTCATTGGGGGTAAGTGGTCTACTTTTTAGAGTTTTGTTTTGACATAGGGTCTTACTGTATAGCAGTGTGATCTGGATCCTATGTAGACCAGGCTGACCCTGAACTCACAGAAATCCACTTGCCACTACCTCATGAATGCTGGGATTAAAGGTGTGTGACACCCTCTTCTGGCCTCCATGGGCCCTAGTGATTTTAATTTTAAGTATGTATATATGTGTTTGTGTATAGGTATATACATGTGAATGCAAGTACTCACAGAGGCCAGAAGAGGGCATCATATCCCCTGGAGCTGGAGTTAAGGGGTTTGTGAACTGCCCAATATGGTACTGGGAACTGAACTTTTGGGTGTTCTGCAAGAGCAATAGGCACTCTTAACTGCTAAGCCGTCTCTTCAGCCCAGTTTATTTGTTTTGAGACAAAGTCTCAAAGACTTCGAACATGCTTGCTAGGCAAGCACTCTACCATTTGAGCCAGGCATGGTGACATTTGGGAGACTGTGGCAAAAAGATTGCTATGAGTTCAAGGATAGCCTGGGTTAAACATGAATCCCTGGGGGTTGAAGAGATGGCTCAGCAATTAAGACCTCCTACTGTTCTTACAGAGGACCAGCTCTTGGCTGCTAGCACTCATGTAAGGAAGTTCTAGGGGCTCTGACACCCTCTTCTGGCCTCTATGGGCATCCTCAGACACATGCACATCGTGAGTGCTGGGATTAGAGGCTTGAAGCACCATGCCCACCTCATCATAGATTCCCATCATCTGTAGATGACTTCTATACCTGAGCAGTATAAATGCTGTGTTAAGCAGCTGTTAAGCTGTGCTGTTTCGAAAAGGAAGACAAGACATCGTTTTCTGCCTAACAGTTTAGCACCTTGATGAGTTGAATATGAGGCTGTGGAACCTGAAGGATATGGAGGGCTTAGGAACAGATACCCAGAAAGAGGCAGGTAGACAACCAAAGAACATTGACAAAGAAGCAGCAGGTGCACACATAAGACAACACATCGGACTTGGGCTAGAATGCATTCATTCATTACTGCTCTGTGATTCCTCTCCATGAAAGCCAGGGCTGCTGGGCTGACCAGGTGGTCCTTCATTTCCTAGGGATTGAAAGCAGCGTCAGTCTAGACACCCTAATATAAGCCAGGAGTGATGTTGCATGATTTAACCCCACCGGTCAGGAGTTAGGGCCAAGCAGATCTCATGAGTTCAAGGTAAGACCAGCCTGGTCTATATAGCACTATATAGCAAGTTCCAGGCAGGCCAGCCAGGGTTATATAGCAGGACCCTGTCTCAAACACACACACACACACACATACACACACACACACATACACACACACACACATACACACACACACACACACACACACACACACACACACACACACATATACAGATCCCAGCACACACAAATAGTCATCCTAACCTCCATACACTCAACCTACCAGGATGTCTGCTCACCTGGAAGGCTTCCTGCATCCACTTCACAAACACCTTTCTCTCCTGCACTGCTCCGACTGCGATCTTAAACTTGCCTGGGTTAGCCTCCACTATGTGTTAGCTGAGAGTCAAGGGTAAAAGCCAGAGACATATAAAACCCCTCCCCCGTACAGTGCCCCCATCCCTCTAGTCTTCAACACTTCCTAGGCATCCAGCCTTTTTAGGGGCTAACTCCAATAGCCTCATACTGGGGCAATAGGCTCTGCCATGGCACCTCTCTAAAGCCCCAAGGTATTGATGGTTTCTTCCAGGTCCTCGAGGTCCCATTCGATGCTGCTCAGGCCGTTCCGCAGTTCATTAGTGGTTCAGTCGAGCTCCTCGCACCCCACCGCCGTGCCCTCTTGCAGGAGCTCGCATCAGCGCTGATGCAGCCCGCGAGCGGTGTTCACCGCCTTGTGTACCTCGCGGCGGGCACACAGCGGGTGCGGCTGGGGTCAAGGGTCTCCCGCCTGCCCCAAAGCATCGGGAGGCTCGAGACACTTCATAACTCCCGGTGTATCCTCCCTCTTGACCACCAACTGGTGCACGCGGACGGCCGTGCCCGAACTGCCTAGCACGATCTGGCCCGCACCGCACCAGCCTCCAGGGGACTGATTCCCTCCCTTCCTCCCCCGCCACTGTCACTCACCCTCGGACTACAAAGAAAAGGTCCTCGAGAGACTTGTCAACCTCCCTCCCCCAGCCCCAGACCAGACCCCAACTCAGTGCCAGCAAGCTAGTTCACGCCCAGCACGCGGAACCAGCAGCCACCCTCAGGCCTGGGAGGCCACCACCGACCCGGATCCGGGCCTCCGGGAGAGAAAGAGCCGGAGTGCCCGAGTGCTGGCACTTCCGCCCCGCTTGCAGCCATCTTCCGGTGAGCCAGCCCTGTGCTTTACCCTATGCAGTGTCGGGTCCTGGTCCTAGTTCTGGCCCACAGGATCTGTGTCCAGCCTCTGAATGTTGGTTCCAGACTTAGCTCGTCAGACTGGCTGTGGAACTTGTTTCCTTTAGGGGCAATATCAATAATTAATAGTTTACCATAACTCAGGTCTGAAGTCACGGTAGGGAAAAGGGACTCTAACAGATTTCTTAAAGTTTTTTTTTAAATACATGTATTCGTGGGGCGTGGTGGAGCACGCCTTTAATCCCAGCACTCAGAGGAAGGTGAATCGCTGTGAGTTCGAGGCCAGCCTGGTCTACATAGCGAGTTTCAGGCCAGCTGGAGCTACAGGAAGACCCTGTCTCAAAAAGACCCCCCCAAAAAAACCCCCACAAAACCCACAAACATTTCTTTGTGTCTCCACTCACATGTACGGAAATCAGAGAACAATTTGCGAGCGATAGTCTACCTCTTCTGCCACGTGGGTCCCGGAGTCCCGGAGATGAACTCAGATAGAAGGACTGCAAGAATTTATACCTACTGAGCCTTGTAAAACTCTCGGTCCCCCCCTCATTTATTTATTTTTATCTGGGTTCTCAATATGTAGTCGCAGATGACCTGGAACTAGCTATATAGACCAGGCTGGGCTCTTAACTCACAGGGATTCACCTGCCTCTGCCTCCTGAGTACTGAGATTAAAGGTGTGCACCACCACAGCCCACCCTCTTTGAACTTTTGAACAGAAAACCCCCAGCATCCGGTTCCCATCCTTGGATTTTCCCAGATCAAGTGGCAGATTAATGGAAAGGCTGCGGAGGACTGTAGGTTGCGTTGTCCTCCCTGTAGTCCGCTGGAAGGGGGCGGGTTCTGATGGACTTTCGCAAAAGGTGGATGAGGTGAGCACGGAGCCGGTAATCCCAACATTTAGGAAGTGGAGTCGAAAGGATCAGGAATTCAAGGCCGGTTTCAACTAGCGAGTTCAAGGCCAGTCTGAGCTAATGAGACTCTGTCTCAAAAAAAGGGGGGGGGGTGGCAGCGAGATAAAGGCACTTGCGCAACACACGCACACAAAATAGGTAAAATGTAGTTTAAATTTTTTATTTTATGTGTATGTTTTGCCTGCATGTAAGTGCATCCGTATGCGCAATGCCCACCGAGGCCAGAAGAGAGCGTCAGATCATCTGGAACTGGAGTTACCAACGGCTGGTCTCTGCCATGTGGGTGCTGGGAACCGAACTCTGGTTCTCTGCAAGAGCAGCCAGTGCTCTTAACCGCTGGGCCATCTCTCCAGCCCCAAATGTAATTTTTTAAAAGTTTGGGGCTGGGGCTGGGGCTGGAGAGATGGCTCAGCGGTTAAGAGCACTGACTGCTCTTACAGAGGACCTGGGTTCAATCCCCAGCACCCACATGGCGGCTATGAACCGTCCTTAACTCCAGTTCCAGGGGAATCCGAAGCCCTCTTCTGACCTCCACCGCAATGGACGACACGGGTGCACTCACATACATGCAGGCAATACACTCATACACATAAAAATAATAACTAATAAAATACTTTAAAAAAATTGGGGCTGGAGAGATGGCTCAGCAGTTAAGAGCACTGACTGCTCTTGCAGAGGACCCGGGTTCGACCCCCAGCACCCACAATGGCGGCTGCGAACCGTCCTTAACTCCAGTTCCAGGGGAATCTGAAGCCCTCTTCTGACCTCCGCGGCGTTGCACGACATGGGTGCACTGACATGCATGCAGACAATACACTCATACACATAAAATAATAAAAAAAAAATTTTTTAAATTGGGGCTGAGGTCGCTGTGAATATGGGTCCTGGGGATTCCTCGGATGGTGGGAAGGTCACCTCCCAGGGTTGTGTGCAAGTTTATTTCATAGATCTGTTTCTCCCTATAACCAGGCAGGCCTTGGCATCCCCAGCTGATTGCCACACTGGAGGACCCCTGCCAGCATCATAACCGTTTTTGGAGGTTCGTGACCCGGCGTTTGTGTCACTGGGGCTTATACAGGGCGCCCAGGCGGTGTACGCTTCCGGCTGCGGAAGGGCTGAGCCCAGGCAGGGGCGTGGTCTTCGCCCAAGGCTCCGCCCCGGAAGCCTCGCTGGCTAAGGCGATCTGGCCCTTGTCCTTACATGGGCCGCCGGAAACGGCTCTCTGGGCGGCCCTCCGTCACCACTTCCAAATTTAGCTGGGGAAGTCGGCGGGTTGTAGTGGCGGGAAGTGCGCGGCGATTGCAGGGGCTCCTTAAAGGGCCATACCAGAAATGAATGGAGACACTGGAATTTTTATTTTCCCCTCTGCAACTGTAATCAAGTGTAGTACCGATGCCATTTTTTTCTGTTTAATTGTGTGGGTGTGGTGGTCAGGGGACAAGTTGCAGGTGTCATTGTCTCCTTTCACCATGTGGGTCCGGGGTATCGAACTCTACTCTGGCCGTCAGGATTGGCGGCAGGTGCCCCAACCCGCTGAACCATCTTGCTAGCTGTTTCTCTTCGCTGCTCAGCTTCCAGGCCCTTCTAGGTTCCCAGGGCGCTATGGTCGATGGGGAGGGTCTCCTACACCACTGGGTCCAGGGCCTTAGGATTACCAAACACCTGTGGGAGTCGAATCCCAGGAAGCTAGGGGGTTGCTTAGCGCAAAGCGTAGGAACCGAAGTCGGAAAGTGGATATCGACTGCCACGGGCCAGTACGGTTCCGCGCCCCTTCCCACTCACGAGACAGGCTGGCCCAGCTGGACTCTGTTGCTCCTTTCTGTCTGCCCGTTTGTTCATTTACCACATTTTGGGCAGGTGACTGTCTCTGTTTTTCACCTACACAAAGACTACCTTCCACCGAGTGGAGTGAGGGATCAGAGACGCTCTACAGACGCTTCTCAGCGCGTAACCGCTGAGAAGTGGAGGCTTCGTACTTGTTCCTCAGATGGCTGGTGTACGCTAGGAACAGTGCCCTCGAGAGGCATACCCAGTTCTCTTCGGCCATGGGAAACCCCCACGGCAGGCGGCATCCTGCACAGGCACGTGGGTGGGCCTCATCGCGGCTCCCCATGGAACTGAGCTCATCCACCTGGCTCCGCACTTAGCTCCTAGCCTGAGTTTCAGTCTGATCACTCGAGAAGTGGAAATTTCACTCTGCCGCTTTAAGGAGTCCCTGACCACCGTGCGGCGGAAAGCCCGGATGAGGCTTTCGGCTTGGGCAAGGCGTCTCCGTGACGTCATTCTGGCTTTAAAAGAGCTGGGGCTCTGAGCACGCCCGCTCCGTGTCTTCCAGGTTTTTATGTTGTGTGTACTGTCAGGGGAGCTCCCGTTCGAGCCGTCATGGAAATGCAGAAAGAAGCGCAGCGCATCATGACCCTGTCGGTGTGGAAGATGTACCACTCTCGCCTGCAGCGCGGTGGCTTGCGTCTCCACCGGAGTCTGCAGCTGTCCTTGGTCATGCGTAGCGCCCGGGAGGTCTACCTCTCCGCGAAGGTGGAGGCCCACGAGTCCGAGTCCTCGCCACCCACCCGGTCCCTCGACCCTCGCCTGCACCCACTGCGGGAAGCCGAAGTTGCAGTGGGTGCAGCACCCCCCGACGGCAAGTTGCCTCCTCCAGAGCCCATGGACACACAGGAAGACGCGCCGCGGGCTGGGGAGACCTTTGCCCGTTGTGACCTGCGCTCCTCCAGAGTCAGCCGCAAGCGCCGGAGCAGCAGTAGTCTGAGTGACGGTGGTGACACTGGACTGGCCCCGAGCAAGAAAGCCCGTTTAGAGGAGGTGGAGAGCCAGGCGTCGTCACAGGTCTCAGGTCGCCTGCAGCCTCCACCCGCACAGGCTGAGGACGCCTTCCCCAACTTGGCGCGGGTCCTCCAGAGGCGTTTCTCCGGCCTGCTGAATTGCGGCCCAGTCGCGTCCCCGACGGCGCCTATGGCTCGTGAGTCAAAGCCTGCTTGCCGTCCGGCCGATGGCGTAGTCAACGTACTGGTCCGCGCGGTGGTGGCTTTCTGAGGACCCGCAGGGCGCTACCGCAGAGGAGAGCGCACACCTGAGGCGAGGCCCTCCGGAGGGAATGCCGGCGGGGCGGTCGAGAGGAGCCGCCGCCCGGAGCCGCGGAGAGGCGGGGAGAGAACTCTGCCGCGGGGGCCGTCGCCATTCGCGAGGAGCCGCTCGGATGAGCTGGCGGCGCAGGCGCCTTCGCCCAAGTGCTGCGTCTACAGGTGCTGTTCATAGACGGGGACGTGGCCTGGCCTCTCCTTCCTGGTTTGGTAGGAGAGAGGTCTAGTTCTTCAATCTCAGGGTCGGACTCTTTCGAGGGGGGCCGTGTTGCCCTATCTAGGTTTTTCACTAATGTATGCGTTTCCAACCTCAGAATTCCAGGCACTCCCTGTCTCCTCCGTTGACATAACTGTGCAAGTTGTATTCATTGCGTCATGGAGCAGACGTGGGAAGCTTCCTGTTGCCTTACGTGGGTGTGGGGCCTGGGAGGAGGGTCAGGGTGTGAGCCCGCCCTGGGGATTGTGAAGTGACTAAGTAGCCTCGCCCCCGCGGGCTGCTGATGGTTTAGCGCTTCTGCACCTTCCGCTCGGTGGTGGGAATCAGCTAATATCATATTAAAGTTCGCATTTGCTGCGTGGAGAAGAGCGCGTCGGAAGCCTGGGGAGACCCGGACGCTGTAGGCGCAGACTGCCTCAGGGTGAACCTCAGTGGGGGAAGTTGCCACTCGCCCGGCAGCCTGGAGAGGAAGTCCTTGCACCTTGGGGTGGGTTAAGATGCCCATCTATCTATAACTGGCGTTTTATCAGTGAACTTGGAAAATAAAGACCATTTGATAAAAGCGCGGCAGGTCTGGCTTCCTTGGCGAGGGCGGGCGGGGTTGAGGGTTCTGGGCTGGCGGCTGGGGAACCTGTCTGACCGGGTTCCTGGCGGGCGGGAGGAGGCCCGGGCCCCTGGCTCACTGAAAGCTTGCAGGCTGTTCCTTCCAGTTGACTAGGAATTCCCCTGCCTCGGAGGGAGGAAAGTTCCGAGTACATATTTGGGAGTGTATTTCCGGTTGCAATCTTGAACTGGTTTGTGGGGCTCTGGTTCCTGGGGTGCACTTGGGAGTGCCCGTTCTGGGTATCCTAATGGAATGGGCCTCTTAAATTTCTCCAACATACGATTTTGAAAGTGTCCATGTGAACCGGGAATGAGATCCTCATGCCTGTAAGGTTTAAGACCAGTTGGGGCTACATAGTGTGGTGGCACCGAGGCCATGACAAGTGGGTCTCTGACTTCAGGCGACCCTGGTCTACATAGTGACTTCCAGCCCAGTATTCCCGTAGTGGGACTGTCTCAAAAAAAAGTTCTAGAACAGTTGTGGTAGCACACACCCTTAATCCCGGCTTTCAGGAAGCAGAGGCCGGCGGATCTCGAGTTTCAGGCCAGCTGGGACTACAGGGAAACCTTGTCTTAAAGTCCACTCGAACCCCGGTTTGCCTTGATTCCAATAATTTCCTTAGGTTTAGGATGGAAGGCTGTAGGCCTGGCCCTAGAGCGGGGGGGGGGGGGGTGGGTCTGGGTGTAGAGGCGCTA